CTTACAAGCTGCAGAGAACCAATATCCTCACTATCAAACTTGTCTGGGAACCAATCACTATAACACGGTCTTGCATTCTCTTGTTAGGGCAAAAGAAGTATACACTCCTCCTTTCACTCTTTGTTGAATTATATAAATATATTTTGAACTTTGAAGTCTTAACAATCATGACTGCCTCTTATAATTCCAGGCCAGTATGGCTATCGCCATATTCGAAGGCATGAAATCATGTGGGGTCCCATTTGATGCTGCAACCTACACAATAATGGTTGATTGCTGTACCATAATAAACAATCTCAAATCTGCATCAACCCTAGTTTCCATGATGATCCGTGATGGTTTCATTCCGCAGATATATATTTATACAAGCTTTATAAAGGTAAATGATATCACCGACAACACATCACCTCTCTTTGATGCGTCCTGCTTGTTTTACACATAAATTGTTATTATGTTTTCCACTTTACAAGTCCTACATGAGTACCTCACCTCTCTTACCCATCACCTCCAAAAAGTTACCTTAATGGTACCTATATATAATAACTCCATCTCAATACAATTAATTAAGTTTTAATTATGAAATGTAATAGAAATGTACGTATCTTTTTCTTTTGGTAATAGAAAAATAAAAGTTGAAAATACGAAAAAAACCAGTTGTGATATGCTAAAAATTATTTTCAATTATGAAAGTGGGTAACTTTACATAGTCAAAACAGGTAAAATACATAGTAGCCATTTCATACATGCAGAGTATTTTAAACACTTTAGAACATTAAGTTTAGGTTGATATTATAAATTTACCATTATTGCTTTAAAGTTTTAAAGTTTGAAAGAAATAAGGTGTCTAACATTTCATTAGCCGTGTAAATAATTGAATTAGAAGCATACATTATTATATTCTCTATACCAGAATTGTTTTCTTGAACAGACATGATAGCTGTGTAAGTAAAGGCATCTATTTGTATTTTGTATTGATGACAATTACTGCCGGTTTTGGTGGTGCCAGATTCTGGTTGCAGCGGAAGAATTTGGCGAGGCATTTGAGTTACTGAAGAAGGGAATCTCAGAGGGGATTCAACCAGATGCATTGCTATATAACAGAATTCTCCAAAAGGCCTCTGAGAAGGTATAACCCCCATAAATATCATGTGACCTTTGCTAATTAGGAATTTGCGATCAGGTTTAATTTTCATTTGTAATGATAAGCAAAATATATTTTGGCTGCAGAAGCCCCTTGGGGAGTATTTGGTTCACTGTTTGTAAGATTATAAATGGACCCTGAGAGTTTCCTGTGTGTTGATTCTCAGGGACGGATTGATGTGATTGAGATGTTTGTGGAGCAGATGCATCGGGACAGAGTTCAGCCCAACTCTTCCATCTGCCGCAACATATTTCTTGCATATGCTGACCGTAGGTTCTATAAGACGGCTATGGAGGCATTGCAGGTTTTGTGTATGAGGATGATATCTGTAGATGAAAGTGTTTTGGACAAACGACGTGCCATGTATGAAAACCTTATTCTAAAAGAGGACACAGAGGAAGACAGTGAAAGGAAGATAATCGAGCTTTTATTCAATGAAGAGGAATATAGCAGTAGAGATGACCTTTCCATTGCCATGCTCATGTTAAGATGGTGTGCCATGCTTGGATTCCCAGTATCTTGGTCACCCAATCACAGCCCGTGGGCTAAGAGGCTATCGATTAACTATGACCTTTTAACACAAACCTCCCCAGATCGTAGCACTGGAAGATACCCTTGGTCTGATGTCCGGTCTAGACGTTAAGCACATAAATGTTCCAGATTGGGACCGAGGCGGGACCGGTGTGGTTTATTACTCCAAATGACATCACTTTCATGGCTGGAAGCCCTAACCTGTTCCTGTTCCCTAAAATGGGTACCAGACTGACCCTTACCAGCACAACAACTATTTTCTTTGTAATGGTTTGGTTCCCACTGCCCAAAACCGGCCTGAGAGTTAGACTAGAACTGCCTGGGTAACCCAAAACTGGACCGACCAGGTATATCCCAGTTACTCTCACAGTTCCACCTGCCCTATGACCCGGAACCAACAGGTCTGGAGCTACGCCAGGTCCATCAATACATGCATTTGCATCTTGCTCCATGGTTGATGGTCGATGTTACTTCAGCATTATATTTCACATAATCTTCTCTTTGTTATTTCATGGAGGTTCTTGTAGATACACCAAATCTCGTTACTAAGATGTATATAAGAGCATCTTTGATACTAGCCATGTACATTGAGGTTTGCTTCAAAAGAACGCCAACAATTTGTAGTTATGTTGTCCTTTCCATTTTTATGGTCTTGATCTAAATCAGTTGTAGAAGTTTTTGAAGCTGACAATTAAAGCTGACAACAGGTCTGGAGCTATGCCAGGTCCATCCATACACTTATTTGCATCGTGCTCCATGGTCGATGGTCGATGCTACTTCAGCATCATATTTCACATCATCTTCTCTTTGTTATTGGGGTTCTTGTAGATACACCAAATCTCGTTACTAAGCCGTGTATAAGAGCATCTTTGATACTAGCCATGTACATTGAAGTTTGGTAACTTGGTTCAAAGGAACGCCAGCATTTTGTAGTTATGTTGTCCTTGACATTTTTATGCTCTTGATCTAAATCAGTTGTAGAAGTTTTTGAAGCTGACAGTTAAAACTACAAACTTACTTTATAAGTTCATAATTTCATATTTATTAATTTATGCTATAAGCATCTCAAGCTACAAAGAAGCTGATGAAGTGATGAGGCATAATTTCAGTTCAAGTGTTCAACAATGTCTACACTTTAAGAAGATGGATTAGGCAATGCGACCACATTGACTGAAATGAAAACATTGATTCTTTGTAACTAAAAAGCATTAAACGCCTGACCTTTGGGAATAGTCATCATTCTTAATGTCACTACTTCCGGTTTCTTGAACTACAATGCGAAAGCAATGTTAGAAAATGGTTTCTAAGAATTTGTCCCCAACTGCCACCAAATTACACATAAAGATATTATTTGTATACAACCTTCATTTCAAAATGATTTCCACTTCTACTTTTTTTTATTAACACAGTTTTTGTTAATGAACGATAGAAATTACTCTAATTTAGTGATTAAAAATAGTGAAAATTTACTTTAATTCCTTATAACTCTACCAAATTCATAATTTTTTACTGTGTTTACTAGTATATTCTAGAGTATATCATTTATTATTGTTAAAGGGCAATATCCCTGAGATGAGTTTCAATGGTGTAACTTGCTTGACATTAGTGTGACCTCCCACCAATTGTGGATAAGGGGGTTGCATGTACGCAGTCTTACTCCTGTACTAGAATATGAGACTGTTTTTGGATAACGCATTATGAAAATCGTGTCAGACATTGCATGGATGATTGTTGATTTATAAAAAGAAGAACAATTTAGTTTAGTGAACAATTTCGCTTGACTCCACATTTTTTCAAACCAAAAGAGAGCGAGTCTTTGGCTCCTTTGAAAATTATGGAATACTTAGAACTACTCTGATTAATTTGTTCTTATAAACCACGCAATAAGACTCTGGCTTAGCAGATTTAATTAGACCTTGTGGCCATATTTGGAAAATGTATGCTTTTGTATATACCCCATTACCCCCCCCCCCCCCACCACAAATGTTGTATGTATTTTCATCAAGAATTTAAGTATTGGTAGGAAAAACAACCAGTAACTAGATTGCAAGAAAACACAACAAATAACAGATCATATAATAGATGAACAATTGTATCCTCAATTTTACAAGGGCTTTTATCCTTTTAGGTAGTATGCCACTCTGCACATTGAAAAAAACTACCCCTTGTAGAAAGAAAAAGCTAACCCTCTCTTTTTAGAGAGAAAAAAACTAACCACTAATTTATATTACCAAGAACTTTAATGAATTTATATCACAAAAAAATACTATGTATAGATCCATTTATGAAGTTCGACTCGGGCCCTAGTTTAGATAAGATCGACTCACTGAAGGCAGACATGCTCAAAAATAATTTATAGGAAAGTTAAGTATCAAAACATTCCATAAATGAAATCCATAAATGAAATCTTTCAAAAGGGGGTTATGCATCCACCAATTTCCAACACCTCTATCCACATTTTCCTTTGCCTTCTGTATCTTCTCTTGGTTAAACTTGAGTCCTGTGGTTCCTAGTGTACCAGGTTGTATCACCCTCTCATATAAAAAAACAGAAAAATAATTTGGAATACATGATAAAAAATTATTTTTACAAAATTGAATTCAAACGTTACCCTATTGTTCAAGAACCATTGCGGCCAGCAAATGGAACCAAATCTTACATGTTAAGATGACTCATTTACACATACCAATACACATTAGATACATGTGAATGAAGAGAATTGTAACTGCAAGGCATTGGAACAGAAGGAAATAAAAAATTAAAAATGATTTTAAGTTTTTATTTCAATTTAGGGAAAAGGGTCGGATAGACCCTTGTACTTACATAAAAAAAGTCAAATAAGTCCTTATATAGGAGTCTTTGTTCGGCCGTCTCCATTTGGAGCGGTTTCCGGTAGAATTTTTTGATGAAATTTTTTGAGCGTCTTATTCATTAAGTCTAGTTTACTCATAGCAAATTTCAACTAAAGTTCAATCGCGAAGGCATTCAAATGAATTTTTGAAGATAACTGTGCAGTTATTATTTGACCTTTTTATTTCAATTTGACCTTTTTATGTCAGTACAAGAGAAATTATAAATATGATTTTGTAATTATTATTTGGATAATAATGTTGTAACCACTTCTTAATCATGAATAATTACAAAGTGATATATTCCATTATTTTTAATGAGAAGCGTATCAATTTCAACATGGTAGCGAGAGAGTGCCACAATGGTTAGGTCTCGGGTTTAAATCCCGGCAACTGCGATGAGGGGTTACTATGCTGAAAAATGCATAGGGCTTCTGCAAGTACCGGGAACAGAGCCCCACTCTCTATCTGTCAGATTGTGATTATAGTCCAATTTACATCCTCTTATCATGTCGTCCTGTCGGTGGTGTTGGGGCCTCAGGGACGGGGTGTCATCCTCAATTTCAACATTATCTTGGATGAAAGACTACTACTGCGGGTACATGCCTTTCTCGGTATTCCTTTAATTCACGGTCATCTTCCTCAATTTCCTTCGATCGTTGTCCAGTCCTTCAGCCATGTTTCTGGTCAAGGTGAAAGAGTCAACGCCTGTTTCTCATTTCTTTTGTCTCTGGTGATTTATGCATGTTTCAGTTATACCTTTGCTAACGGAAATTTTGCTGTAAGCAGACATGGAGAACCACCTCATTTTCCATCTATGGGTATCTAAACTTCACCAAATCAGGGTTTTTGTAAGTAAATTTTTCTTTGCTGGTTATGTAGCTTGATTACACTTCAGAAAACGTAAAAATATATTTATATGTTTAAGTTTTATTTATTACTTTTTCGGTTACACTGAAAAGATAAAGATTATTTACGAAAAATGTGTATAGTGACTATAGTTACAAAAATCAGGAGTATTTCGAATAAATAGTTTCTTTTAGGTTCACTCGAAGTGTTGTTAAAAGAGCTTTACAAATTTACTTCTTTCAGGTTTTGTTTTTTAGAGGTGAATATAGAGATATTATCTTGGATTTATTTTTTTGATTTCTCATTATACCAGTATGTTTCTATGTTTTTTTTTGTAAATTTCGAACTAATTTCAAATCACACAGTTTTTTTTAGAGAGATGGAGTATTACTTAATAGCTTACACTACGATTTTAATTGGACTGTAATTTTCTGATCTGGTTTGGCCTATTTTAGTTTAGTCTTGTCTGGTAGATGTCAATGTGTATTTTACAACTGTTGAAGATTGGTCTGATCTGGGATTGAAACCAATCCAACTAAAAACATCCTGAAGCGTTCAATTTACTTCAAAATGTGCTTATTCAGGCATATCGCATTCGTGTTATGTTGCTGTCAAATTTAAAAAAGTTGAATAAGGTTTTAGTGAAACCATTCCCATACATTGTTTAACCTTGTTCCGTGGATTGACGAAAAAAGTTGTTGTGGTAACCATTGAAAAAGTAGTGCATTGTTTCTATTGCGGTCGTTCGTCAGTTCGGTTTTGATTTTATCGATTCAATCTTTAGTCGCGGTCGGTTGTAAAAAAAGTTAAAACGGAGAGCAGAACCACACAACTTGAGTCAGTTTCAGTCGGTTTTGATTTAGTTAATTTTGGTTGGTTTGTACCGGTTTCAGTCCGTTTTAGCTCATTTTGGTCGGGTTTTGTTGGTCGGTTTTGGTTCGGTCTTTTTCTAACCCAAAATTGTATACCGCTAACCAAACCGAATATGAGTAAATCGGTTTTGATCGGTTCAGTTTTGCTAGGTTTATTGGTCAGTTTCGTTTTTTTGGTTTTTCTGTTCGCCCCTAGTTTCTATGTAATAGTCTTATACTCTTTTGACAGACTGACAGAGTTTCAGTACCTTAAGGGATTGTTGATTGGGTGGTCTTGGAGGGTATGGTAGGCTTTACTAACATATCTCTATTTATTAGTTGTAGACCAAAAAATATGCAGTAACAACTATATGTTCACTTAAATAATGGATCACTGTATATCACCCCTCCCATCTGAAATGTAAGAATTAATTATTTAAATTAAATATCACCCTTCCCATCAAATCTTCCATCCGTATAAGGGCTAAATGTTAGAAAGATTGTCTATGAGTTACACATCCTGCATCATTCTTGAGGTAGAACATAGAAAATAACAAAATGTTGGCAATTACTCCCTCCTTCCCACAAATGGAGCCCGCTTATTTTTTTTCACACAAAGTATCCTATTTGAGCAAAAAAGCTAATTTATTACTCTATATTTGATGTGTTTTTTCCAAAAAAGTGTCCCAAACAATTTACATATGTTAAATATAATTATATCATTATATAAAGCTATTTTTTTTTTATGTTAAAAAGTTATATATCAAATATAGCTAGAGTTGATGATCTCCAATAGTTGTACTTTAGTATGATTCAAAAGTTGTACCTTTGAGAAACAACCCTTTTTTAGAATGATATTTATATGTTCTTTTAATAGACTATGCATTTCTTTCTTTTGGTCTTCAAGTTGGCCGTTGGTAGTCTTATTTTACTTGACAGTATATCCAAATTTAAACATTGTTAACATAATCCAGGGAACATTCAAAAAAATTCAAACCTGAAGATATGGAGCAACGAATGGAAGCTAAAAACTGTGTGGTTACTGGTGCAAATTCTGGCATTGGCTTTGCAATTACTGAGGGCCTTGCTTCACGGTTTGGAGTCATTTCTGTTCAACCTTTTTTGAATTAGCTTTTTTCTCATTAACGTACAAAAGTTATAAATTTTTCCGATGCTATGAGCACACTGATGTATGAAAAATTGGACTCTAAGGAAGGAGAACAAGGTATCTATAGACTTGCTCGTCTTCGTGATTGCAGGACTCAAGATATCGGAAAAGTTAAATGTGTGAAGGATGTCGATCAAAGGATATTAATGGAGGACAGAGAGATAAAAGAGAGGTGGATGTCATACTTTGATACATTGTTCAATGGGAACAAAGTGCAAGATATCGGTGATTTGACCATACCGGATTGTATGGTAAATCGTGATTTTGTGAGAAGGATCCAAACAACGGAAGTTAAAGAGGCTCTGAGGAAGATGGGGCGGAAGAAAGCAGTGGGTCCAGATGGCATACCGATCGAGGCTTGAAGAAGTTTGGGAGAGAGAGGCATCGAGTGGTTAACAAATTTCTTCAACAAGATTTGGAGAAACAACAAGATGCCAATGAGTTGGAGAAAGAGTACTCTTATTCCTTTATTTAAGAATAAAGGTGATGCACAAGAATGTGCCAACTATCGAGGGATTAAGCTTATGAGTCATACCATGAAACTTTGGGAGCGAGTGATTGAGCAAAGACTTCGAAGAACGGTGAAGATTTCAGAGAATCAATTCGGTTTTATGCCTGGTCGCTCAACAACTGAGGCTATTCACCTTCTTCGACAACTTATGGAGAAGTATAGAGACGCCCACAAGGATTTGCATTTTGTGTTCATTGACTTAGAGAAGGCATATGATAGGGTACCTCAAAAGTTCTTTGGTGGGCCTTAACTAGAAAAGGCATTTCACGCAAGTATATCAGCATCATCATGGATATGTATGAGGATTGTACTACAAGTTTCCGTACTAGTGTACGGAGGACTGCGGAGTTCCCTATTACTATCGGAGTGCACTAAGGATCGGCTCTAAGCCCTTTCTTATTTGCCATAGTCATGGATGAACTTACAAAGTCATTTCAAGACGATATACCGTGGTGCATGATGTTTGCCGACGATATTGTATTGATTGATGAGACGCAGTCAGGGGTAAAACAAAGTTGGAAGTATGGCGACAAACATTGGAGAACAAGGGTTTCAGACTAAGTCGGAGCAAGACGGAGCACATGAAGTGCAAGTTTGGTGGAGGTAGAAGCAGTGGTAATAGCATAATTACTCTAGATGGTAAGGAGATACCGGTCAGCGATATGTTCCGTTACTTGAGCTCCATAATTCAGAAGGACGGTGAGTTAGATGGAGATGTATCTCATAGGATCATAACAGGGTGGATGAAGTGGAAGAGTGCGTCAGGATTTCTATGCGATCGAAGTATGCCGACTAGACTGAAGGGTAAATTTTATAGAACAACAATTAGGCCTGCATTACTGTATGACACAGAGTGTTGGACGGTGAAACAATGTCACATTCAAAAGATGAATGTGGCAGAGATGCGCATGCTGCGTTGGATGTGTGGGCATACTAGAAAGGACCGCGTGAGGAATGAGACAATTAGACAAAGAGTGGGAGTAGCACCTATTGAAGATAAGATGCGGGAGTCGCGCCTACGGTGGTTTGGTCATGTGCATAGAAGACCGAGTGATGCACCTGTCAGACGAGTTGAGATGTGTGGAGGAGAGGCAGGGAAGAGAGGGAGAGGAAGGCCCAAACAGACGTGGGTTAGGGGGTCAGAAGTGATATGCTTCTGCTTGGATTGGATGAGGGTATGGCTTTGGAGAGAACAAAGTGGAAGACGGGTATTCGTGTGGAGGAGTGATCTTGTTTCATCTTTTTTTTTTTCTTCTTCTTTTTTTATCCTTTTATCCTTATATATATATTATTTTTATCCTTTTTATTTTATCTTTTATATGTATATTCATTTGGGGTAAATGAAAACGAAAACGAATGTATATTCATCTCTTCTATATTATCTTTTTTATAATAGCTTATCTTTTTTATCTTTATTTTCTTTCTTTTCCTTTTGGTGATATCATGTATCGATTCATGTTAGCCGACCCCAATATCGTTTGGGACTAAGTCTTGGATGTTGTTGTTGTATGAGCACACTGATCTTGTTGATATGTGTTTTCAGTGGAGCAACTGTATATATGGTGTGCCGGAATAAAGAGAGGGGAGAAGCAGCGCTTTCCAAAATTCAGTCAACAACTGGGAATAAGAATGTTTTCTTGGAAGTAATTGGCTCAGTATCCTTTGCATGATTTGTACAAGTCATTGTATGTGTTGTAGATAACTTATCATTTTTTTTTGTTGTGTGTGCAGGTGTGTGACATTTCATCTGTTAGTGATATCAAAGCATTTGCCTCCAGATTTTGTTCAACTAATTTGCCCGTTCATGTCCTGGTATTTCCCCCTGTTTTTTTATATCTTAAAATATAACATTTCATTGATTGGACAATGTTATTTCTTTTGGTTTGTTTGTACTGCAAGTTATTTATAGGCTGGCTTTCCTTTGTTCACTCAAGTTTCTTTGTAGCTGATAGTATCTTATTTCTTAAGGTAAATAATGCTGGACTTCTAAAGAACAATAGAGTTACTACACCAGAAGGGTATATCGAATTTTCTTTCAAGAAAATGATTTTATATTTATAAACATTGTTGATAAATAAGGTGATAACAATACACGATATTCTTGTACCAATATCAGATATGAGCTGAATTTTGCTGTGAACGTTCTTGGAACTTATACCATAACAGAGCTGATGTTGCCACTCCTTGAGAAGGCTGCACCTGATGCACGGGTGATTACAGTTTCATCTGGGGGAATGTACACTTCCCCCTTAACGAATGATTTAGAGGTTGAATTACAAGCAATACATTTCATTTTGTTTGCATGGATCGTTTATGTTCTGATTCTAATATATTGTTTTTTTGCATTTAGTGTAACATAATTCAACGTGTTGTGAACAGTATGCACGTAAGTCAGCAGTGCAGTATATCTGAAAGCTTAATTATTATTTCATTCAATGATTAAACATAGGTTACTCTTCCCATCACACATAAACAAAATTTGCGAGCCTGTTATTTAATTATTTATTTATTTTCTCTACTTCACTCACTCACTCACTCACTCAAACAACAATCACTCACACACTCACTCAACACACTCACTCCACTCACTCACTCACTCACAACACACCACCACTCACTCACCACCACTCACACACTCACTCACCACTCACTCACTCACTCAACTCAACACCACTCACTCACTCACATCACCACTCACTCACTCACTCACTCACTCACTCACTCACTCACTCACTCACTCACTCACTCACTCACTCACTCACTCACTCACTCACTCACTCACTCACTCACTCACTCACTCACTCACTCACTCACTCACTCACTCACTCACTCACTCACTCACTCACTCACTCACTCACTCACTCACTCACTCACTCACTCACTCACTCACTCACTCACTCACTCACTCACTCACTCACTCACTCACTCACTCACTCACTCACTCACTCACTCACTCACTCACTCACTCACTCACTCACTCACTCACTCACTCACTCACTCACTCACTCACTCACTCACTCACTCACTCACTCACTCACTCACTCACTCACTCACTCACTCACTCACTCACTCACTCACTCACTCACTCACTCACTCACTCACTCACTCACTCACTCACTCACTCACTCACTCACTCACTCACTCACTCACTCACTCACTCACTCACTCACTCACTCACTCACTCACTCACTCACTCACTCACTCACTCACTCACTCACTCACTCACTCACTCACTCACTCACTCACTCACTCACTCACTCACTCACTCACTCACTCACTCACTCACTCACTCACTCACTCACTCACTCACTCACTCACTCACTCACTCACTCACTCACTCACTCACTCACTCACTCACTCACTCACTCACTCACTCACTCACTCACTCACTCACTCACTCACTCACTCACTCACTCACTCACTCACTCACTCACTCACTCACTCACTCACTCACTCACTCACTCACTCACTCACTCACTCACTCACTCACTCACTCACTCACTCACTCACTCACTCACTCACTCACTCACTCACTCACTCACTCACTCACTCACTCACTCACTCACTCACTCACTCACTCACTCACTCACTCACTCACTCACTCACTCACTCACTCACTCACTCACTCACTCACTCACTCACTCACTCACTCACTCACTCACTCACTCACTCACTCACTCACTCACTCACTCCAGCGAGTGCAGGCATGTATTATCTTAAAGCTTAATGATTTAAACATAGGGTTACTTATTTATTTATTTATTTATTTACTCCGTATTTTTTATAACGCGGGTGCCTTAAACTTTTATCTAGAATCATCACACAGACCCTAAAGTTAATGTCCTTGTAAATTTCAAGTGGCCCTCTCGAGTTGAACTCGGGTGGCGTTGCACAGACAACTCTTTGTTCACGGGTTCATGCTAGTCAATCAACCCAGCCGGCTGTCACATATATTTATCTCCATCAACACATGAAGGGAATTCAGCCTCTACATTTTTGCTACTCTTTTCTTTTGTTTAACTGGTTTTTGACAATTAAGTGACACTATATTAATGTCATCGGACCTGATATTATTGGGATTGCGGCGGTGATGATGATGAGTTATATTGTTTAGAGTTGATCTACTATATAGCTTAATGCATATTGTATATTTGTTAGTCACTTAGTTGAGAATATCACCTGATAATATTACGAAAATAAAGATTTCTGACACAAGCAGAATGCTATGTTATGTTAGGTTGCATTGACAGAGAAATGGTCTGAAATGCATAAAGAAAAGGGTATTGGCTTTTATTCGATGCACCCTGGATGGGCAGAGACTCCTGGTGTTGCAAATAGTCTCCCAACCTTCTCAAAATCGTAAGTACTCCCACCCATATCCCTATTTCCCAACAAAGTTATCCAAAGCCCCGAGTGTATTTCACTCTCCTTGTTCTGACGTTTTGCTATATCGGCCTTGGGCGCCGCCTAACCTTCTTAGGGTGTGGACATGGTTCAGATTCTCCTTCTGTAACAGTTAGTCCTGGTTCCCCATTTCGTAGGAACCCGATCAGAACCTTAAAAGGCACAGGCCCGGTTCTTAGTACCGGCGGTTCCAATTCGGTTCTAGTCAAATTATGATTTACACTTTGTAAGGTGGTCGTGTGCCGCTCCTCCATTTGATAGGGAACCAGTATCTGAGTGTCCACCCTCAAAGGCCGCCTAGTGGTTTTAGGGCACTGTTTCAACATTACTTTAGTTTTTAGTGCCCATTCATGATTCTTCAAGTGATGCAATATTTGGCCAATAAGCTCAAGCAGATATATGAAAAAAAATTAAAAAAAGGAAAAAATATTGGGCAGATATAGATGGATATTGATGTGAGTCATTTTCCCAGATTTGAAGGGAAGCTCAGGACAAGCGAGGAAGGAGCAGATACAGTAGTGTGGTTGGCCTTGCAGC